GGATAGGACAAAGTTCAGAGCCATCATTTACATGATCACTATGGGTCATGGTTGACTCCACAGCATGTGACAACAACTCTTCTTAAGCATTTTAATCAAGAAAATGTGACCAAAGTTTCTATAGACAAAAAAGTATTCATTCACTCATTTACTTTTCCTAAGCAAGTACAATTCTTGTTTATTTTTTTATCAAATCTCCATTAGATTATAAGCACTATGAGGGTGGGGCTTTGTTTTGCTCACCTAGTGTTTGTTGTTGTTGTTTTGTGCTATGTGTTATGTGTTGTTATGTGTTATGTGTTAGTCGTCTAGTAGCATGTGACTCATAGCAACTCTATGTACTACAGACCTGAAACCTGCTCTATTCTGTGCCAATCTTATTGTCTCTGACACACCCACCCCCATTACCCCAGTCACTGAATCAATCATCTCATCCATGATCTTCCTCGCTTACGATGTTCCTTCACCCTTCCAAGCATGATGTTCTGCTATAAGGACTGGTCCCTTCTTGCAATATGCCCAATGTATGTAAGATGGAGCTTCAGAATTCCTGCCTCAAGGAGCAGCCTGGTTTCACCCTCTCTGGGATGAACCTGTTTCTTCTCTTAGCACTCTATGGTATATTCAGAACTGTTCTCCAGCACCACAGCTCAAAGGCATCAATTCTCGTTCTGTCATCTCTAGTCATTGTCCAGCTTTCTGATGCATAGCAAGTAATTGTGAAGGCTATGGCCTGGATCAGGCACACCTTAGTCTCCAGACTAACATGGTTGCTCTTCAGTACTCTGGAGAGATCCCTAAACAGCAGGCTTTCCCAATGTAATTCATCTTTTGATTTCCTGGCTGTTGGTAATCAAAGAGTGTTGATTGTGGAGCCAAGGAAACTAAAGCTGTTAACAATCTCAGTCTTGTCACCATCTATCTTGATGCTGCCAGTTGGTCTACAGGTGAGAATCTTTGTTTTCTTGATGTTGAGCTGCAGTCCTTGACCTTCTGAAGCAAGCACTTCAGGTCCTCCTCAATTTCAGCAAGCAGGGTTGTGTCATCTGCATAAGGAAGGTTAATGAGTCTTCCTCAATCCTGATGCCACACTCCTCCTCCTAGAGCCCAGCCTCCCAGTTTAGAATGAATGAATTCCCTCTTCTAAAGCCCTAGTTCAATTATCATCTGTCAAAAATGACTCACAGATTTTAATAACATCAGCCTATTTTTGCTTTGATGTATGATTAACAACTCTTCCTGGCTGTTTCAAGGGCCTTAAATGCAACATGTTGTTCTTGTTGCATGCTGTCAACTATGACTCATAGCTACTATTCCATGAACAACAGATCTAAGCCTTGGGACATCATGCACCATCTGCACTATACCCCACATGCCGGAGCCCATTGTTGCAGACATTGTGACAATCCATCTAGTTAAGATTCTTCTTGTTCTCCTCCGTTTCTCCACTTTTCCCAGCACGGTGTCTTTTTCCAAGGACTTGCCCCTCAGACACCCTACTCAAAGTGTACGAGACATAGTTTTATGATCCTTGCCTTTGAAGAACACTCTGGTTATACGTCCTCCAAGACAGACTTGCTTACAAACGGAATTCCTGACTTTCCTCTCTAAACCTGGACTTCTTTTCATGTTCCTTTTATTAAAAGTAATATCATCATCTAATATTTATTTGTTTAAAATTTCCAAGCAATTTCTATATTTTTATATTTATATACTTTTAAAAATAATCACAAATAGTAGTTGAGTGAAGAAACATCAGTATTTTATTTTCCTGCAGGTACTGTTTTCTCTTGCACCAACATAATTTCAAATTAAAACCAAAATGTTTAGAACTGAATCACTTGGCCCTTTCTCTTCTTATCACCTCCCAGTTCAAAATGCTTGCATCTCTTAATGGCCAGCATCCTCTTGGATCTGCAACAAGGCTCAACACATTCAAGCCTCAGCACAAGCTTCTTTGTGGTTTTGACCTTCTTCCAGAAAATGGGTTTTGTCTGCCCGCCATAGCCACTCTGCTTCCGACCGTACCACCTCTTGCCTGGAGTGCACAGGGAATCCTTTCCCTTCCTGTACTGGGTTACTTTGTGCGGTTGATGCTTGCCACACTTCTAACAGAAAGTCCTTCCGGTTTTGGGTATGTTGATGGTCTCTGCAGCAGAGTTGTCGACACAGTAAACTGGAACTTCAAGGTGTGTGCTCCTCCCCTCACTCTGCTTGTACCTAACTGGAAAAAACATCTAATATTTCTTAAGCCATTGCTGCACACTTTCGTGCTTAGAACCACTTTTTTTTTTATATATTACCGTCATTTGCGGCAACATGTGGGTAGAGAAGTGAACAAAAAAGGCCGCAGAGGTCTGCATTCATGGAATTTGCATCCTAGTGAAATCTTTGCTCTTTCAGGCAAGCCAAGAATCCAGTTAACCTTGACTCCTCTTGCTCATCATGTCCCAAATTCAGAACGAAGTCCTGGCTATTGCTTAGTTAATTCCCTCCCCTCTTCCCGCAATAGAGTGTAAGTCCTCACCTCTTACCTGAATAATGACATCAGGCTCCAAACAGCAGTGTTCACTCTGTTCTCTCCAATCCATTATCCATATTACAAATTTGTTACTTTCTCCACTGTCACATCCTCCCACTCCTTCATCCTCCACGCCCCCACTCTTCTGGTTGTAAAACCTTCAGTGGCCTCCACTGCTCCCTCACTTTCTCAACGCCAGCCACAAAGACCTTTCCCCCTCCCTTGTGTTCACTATGCCTGTCCTGCCAGTGCCCTTGACACATCGTTCCATTGCGGCTCCCTGGAAAACTCCAGCGAGTTCTCCTCTCCATCTACTTAACTCCTGCTTGTTCTCCACATTTCTGCTCAAGCGTATTTTTCTCAAGGAAGGCTTTGACCTCAGTTAAACACTCTGTTAAGAAGTTTTCATACGCTTCTCATGGTGGGACATTTACATTTGTGTGTGAGGTTATCTGACAATAGTTTCTTCCCATCTCAACCTCACCCCACTCCACCACTAGATTCCAGAAGGACAAGGCCATATGTCTTAGTCATCATTATGCTCCAGGGATTAGCACAGCATCTGACACACAGGAGAATTCATTTGTCAAATGAATGAAGGAGCAGATAGAAAGAGGATCCAGTGAAGAAATACATGGAAAGCTCCTAGTATAGCACAAACAACATAACAAAAAATGAGTATCGATAGAGTTGTCTCAGGGTAGAGCTATGTTCCTCACAGTCTTCCATGGTTAATTATTGTGGAAGTCAATCACTAGGTCTTTCTTCGGAGTCACCTCAAAGTGTTCTTGAACCTTTAGCTATTTGATTACCAGACTGCCGCATTAGCTTTGTACCACCAAGAACTACACTTAAAACATAAAAACAAGCAAGCAAACAACTCGAGATGTTGCTATGGAGTCAATTGTTAACTCATAGCAGATAGAACTGACTATAAGGCAGAATGAACTATCCAATGAGCTTACTTGACACATTGTTAGGTGTCTTCAAGTCCATTCTGATACATAAAGGACATTAATTACCATCAATTTCTTTACCCTTTTCCACCCAGGGGATTCCCAGAAATTGGGAAGGGAAAGCAGTAGTCTAACAGTGTAGTCTTGTCAAAAACACCTGTCTCTTTTCTCCCCCACAAAATTCACTGTCATTGAGTCAATTTTGGCTCATAGCTACTCTACAGGAGAGAGCAGAATGTCTCCGTGGGATTCTCAAGGCTGTAAATCTTTGTAGGAATGAATTACCACATCTTCCTCCTGCAGAGTGGCTAGTGGGTTCGAACAACCGACCTTTGGTTTAGCAGCTGAGTACTTGACCACTGTGCCACCAGAATGCTTTACTTCAAAGGCTGTAAGTTATTTAGACAAATCCTAGAACAATTTCACTTCTCTCCAAAGTCAACCAAGAGATGTGGAGGAAGGAAAGTGGGTGAGTCTTGGGCTACCTCACCTTGCCCCATCCATGAGATAAGTAGGTGCATCTGGAAGTTAGAGAAAGGACTGGCGTGAGTGTGTGGGGCCTGAGGCTGCGTCCAGGGAGCCTGACCATAGAAAAGAAATAAGACAAAACAGCATCCCAGTAAGATACCCATCCTAAGACCCTCTAGCTGATGTCCAAGGAACTGTGAGAGAAGGAAATGGCTGTGTTATTCAGATTTAGCTTTCAACTGTCTCCTTCATGGCTGCAAGGAAGCAAGCACACAGCACAAGCATGCAGTCCAGGCCAGAACGAGACAGAAGCCATCACATTGGAAGAAACAGAAGAACGTACACAGTGGGAATGGAGGAGGGAGACTAGTTGAAATGGCATTAAAGTGCAAGATGAGAGCTGCAGAAAAGCCAGAGGCAAAAAACAGGAAGAGAAGTGAGGTATTCGCAGATTCTCCAATAGGTCCTCCAGCAGGTCCGATGTGCAGGCCAAGTGAGGCGGGGCACAGGAAGGTTATGTGCTCATCTGGCTGGGAAGCCTCTCCCAGCTACGTACCCCCCGCTCACACCTGCTGGGCTAGGACTCACCAGCTAGTACTGAGCACGTGGTTCCCCACAGGTCACTGAGAGTCACTGGGTACAGTGCCAAAGGCCTTTAGGGGACACAGTCCTGTCCTGGGAATCTAAGGTGGGTGGGAGAGTAGCAAAGGCAGGCAAGTTAATTCCTCACCACCTTCCACCTAGAACGTAGGAAGTGGCTGGACGGGGGAGGGAGGAATCTGGGAGTCAGATGGGACAAAGGCTATTTTGGTAGGCAGTTTCTGCTCTGCTTTGAACTCTGTTGATTCCATAAACAATATTATGTGCCAACTGCATGATAAGTATGGAAACAAAACAGACGTGGCCTGGTCCTGGCTTGGAGGAGTTCAGCCTACTGGGTGGTGTGTAGGAACATTGATCCTCTGCGTCAACCCCAGCCCACCCTTCCCTTGGCATCACCCTACTCTGCATCAGTGTCTTCTCTGAAAGGTGAGGGTTAGCAGGTATGTGGGTACCTGGTGGCATCCTTCTGGAGGCAGGCTGAGCACTTGATGGCATATTCCATTAGCCAGCGCTTGTGCCGCACCTGGAACACCTGGCTGAAGCCACCACTGGCCACCTGGCGCCAGTCGTCCTCAAAGTCATCTCGGCTGAAGACAGTGAGGCTGCCCAGGCTCCGCTCCACGCCCGCGGCCATGGGGTCCGAGTGTCTTCACTCGTGCTCTCCCTCACACCTGCACTCCTGTTTGCTAGGGCTCCAAGCCAGGGCAGCCTGGGCAGTAGCCAGCTTCCTGCTGGGAGAGGGTGGGGTTGGTGAGGTGAGCCAAGCCTTCATACTGTATGCAGAGAAGCTGATCCACCTAAAAAGGCGAGGAGAGGACACACACTTCAGCCCTGTGGCCCCAGGAAGAGAGATGGTGGGGAGCAGACCCTGGTCTGGGGAAATGGATGTATCTCAGGGAAGTACAGTTGCCCTGCCCCTGCATGTCTCCTCTGTCCCTCTGTCTCAGCCTCCATCTGCATCTTCCTCCCCAGCTTTCACCTCCAAAGGGTATTGAGACAAAGGGTACTGGAGAAGAGTACTGAATATTCCATAGACTGCCAAAAATCCCAAACAGATATATATCTTAGGGAAAGTGCAACCAGAGTGCTCCTTGGAGGCAATGATGGTGAAGCTTCATCTCTCAAACTTTGAGCATGTTGCTGGCAGAGACTGTTTCTTGGAAAGGACATCCTGTCTGGAAAGGTGGAAGGTCAGGGAAGGAGAAGGAGGCCCCCCTTACCAGAAGAATCACCATGGTGATTGCAGCAATGGGCGCAACTCTTCCAGAGATTATGAGAATGGCACACGGTAGGGCAGGGTTCAAGTCTGTTGTTCATAGGGTCACTGTTAGTCATACTCAACTCAATGGCACGTAACAATAACAACAGTGAAAATCAGTGTATTTACTCATTAATTCATATGGACTCTGATAGTTTCTGATTTCTCCAAGTCTGTGCTGGGGAACTGTATTGCTGATGATGGGAGCTGGAACCCCATCTTTCTCCAGAAAGGATGAGGTTTCCTTGTCTGAATCTGTTAGACCCACTAGCTGGAAGCTTCCTTTCATGTGTTGGTTGGTGGGTTTTATCTTGGTTCTCACTTAACGTTTAGTGACTTTTGGTGTACCAGAAGTCACCAAGAAAAGGTCTACAGAGGCAGAAGGGGGTCAGCTGGCTGCCTGTTTGCTGATGCTGCTCTCAGTCCAACCTTCAGCCTTGGAGAGATGGACTACTTGGGCCTGTAACTGAAGGCAGAGACAAAGGGGAGGAGCGCGGGAGCAACTGAGTGATGACCAGGCTCTCCTCTCCTGGGTGGAGCACGGTGAGTACCCAGAGGACTACAGGACAGTGTGGGGCTGCTGGGAAATCTCGAGGTCTTCAGTCCATGGAGTGACACCCTCCTCTAGGAGAACCATGGAGATGGACAGAGGATAAGCACTTTGAAAAGGTGGATCTCCCAAGGTGCCGCCTGGAGAACTGCTGCAGAGCAGTGCAGGGAGGCCACCTCTCACCCACTGCGGGGCTGAGTCTGGGCTGCATGAAGTCTGTAAGCTTCCAGAGTGACCATCTTCATCTTCAACAGTGGAAGTCCAACTACTAGAATAGAAAATCATAGCCATGGGTCCAAACATCTAGAGGCCCTCAACCATGTCACAAACCTTCCAGAAGCCTAGGCTTCAGGTGAGCATGAGAGAAAATACTCCAAATGAAAGCTGGAGAGGTTGCTCATTGTTCAACTTTAAAAAAAATTTATTCATGTATATTATGGGGGTTTCCCCTAACAATCATCTCACTTATAACTACAATCTTGAAAGAGTGTAAACCAGTTGCTTCATGCTTCATACTATAATAGCCCCAATTTAGGTGTCCTAGTGGTAAGGAGATTGTTCACAGCTTTAGTTTGCTTGGCTCCACAGTCAACACTCTTGGCACCAGT